GGGCCCATGACACGGTGCTGCAAGTTGGCATATGCCCTTTTGTCAACGGTGCGAAACTGCTTTGTGGGGGGCATTGCAATTGGGACCTCATGGTGGACTTGTAGGTGTGCCGAACTGCACCAAATCCGACCTTCCTGGCCGTGTCCCCATTACCGATTTCGACGAGATAGTCGATGTGGCATGGTACCCTACGTCACCGATTGTCGTGGATTCGTCGACCCTTTACTGGTTTGTCGCCTTCGCCAACAAGTTGGAGTTTGAAAATTCACCACGGTGGTGGCTTGGACGCAAGGAGTTTAACAACGACCCAAATGGAGACGTCGTGTTCGCGATCACCAGATCCCCAGACGGCCCCTGGAAGACCATTGCTGACGATGAACACCGCATCGTGGGCTGTATGAGAGTTGTCGCCAACTAAAATTCCATTTTCCTTTTGGTCGTGCGTGTGAGCGAAGTGGTGGACGCGACGAGTTTGAGAGTTGGACGGCTTCTTGACGTGCGTCGGCTTGGCTTTCTTTCCAACAATAGATTGCCAAGCTCGTTCATTCGTCTCGCTGTCCATGCACCTTTGAAACGTTGGTAGGTTCGACGTACCTCGGCTCATCGCGGCGATGGTTCATCGATTCGGCGTTCGATAGCATGACGAACCAGGACAGCGTTGAAGGGACCATTTGTACGGAGGCACTTGGGACCCCCTGAAACTGGAAGCGCTTGGCAACGTTCTGAATGGGAAAACGCTCGGGGATGTAGCTCAAGGGGCATTTCGGCGTGCCACGGACGCACCACCCTTGACCCCGCCAAGTTTGTTGTCGTCTGCGCTCATCGGATCGCAAAAAGAGTCGGGAGCATTGGTTGCTTGTATTCCTTGGGCAAAGCTCGAAGTTCTTTCACGCGCGTGTTCGGGCGTGGGCCGATTGTGGTAGCCCTTGCACTGGGGCCACACGCACCTCCGTGGATGGCTGTTGTGCGGGATTGACGAGTGCACAGTCGTTCGATGCTTTGCATCGATTGGCTTT